TTCACAGCTGATATTGAGCTTCTCCAACGGTTTTTTCCACAGATGTAATCGATCTGATTCCTATGCATACCATCAGGTGAAATCCATGTGTATAATCTACATTTATGTCAGTTTTGGGGCCTAGGCCTGCCTTAATCACATTTCCTAATTTCACTGAGTTTGTGTCTTCATAGGCCTGGGCCTGCCTTAATAGGTTTTCTATTTTTTGCTTAGGGAGTTCTGGTGGCCTAGTGGCAGGAAGCTGTGCTACAATCCTGAAGGCACGTGGTTCGAGTCTACCAGCTGCTCTGCCGGAACAGTATGGGCAATCTCCTCCCATGTGATTGCCTCTGAAAACCCACCAGAGGGTCACCTATGGGTTGTTTTGGACTTAAATGGTACATACAACATTTTTGCTTAGTTTGTGTTTTATTGGGCCTGGGTCTGCCTCATCCCCCCATTTTGAGCTGAATGTTGTTGTTGTTGTTGTTATGTGCCTTCGAGTTGTTTGCGACTCATAGCTACCCTATGTACGACAAACAGCCCTAAACCCTGCTCTATCCTGTGCCAATCGCATTGCCTCTGACATACCCATCCCGATTACCCCAGTCACTGAATCAGTCCACCTCATAGAGGGTCTTCCCCTCCTGCACCGTCCCTCTACCCAGCATGATGTCCCTCTCCAAAGACCTCTCTCTCCTTACAACATGTCCAAAGTATGTCAGACGAAGCCCCAGAATCCTTGCCTCCAAGGAGTAGCCTGGTTTAACCCTCTCTAGGATGAATCTGTTTGTTTTCTTGGCAGTCCAATAGCTTAAGTTTATTTCAGAGTCAGATTATTTATGGGACATATGGGGATTCTGGCTTAACCCTTCAGGATTGTTTAGTGGGTACAGGCCACTTGAATAAGGTGGAGGAGGAGACTGCTTGGTGAGAGCTGTTTCTATTAGCCTCTGAGCCAATTCTCAAGTGCATAGGATAACACAGCATCCAATTACAATTAATACTCTTATCACAATGCTGAGGGAAGTAAGGGAGGAGGACATCAGACCTTTCTATTTACCAAAACACCATCCCATTAGGTCAGTGTACACATGGGAGTCAAACAATCAGAGAGGAATGTCTATGCTTCTATTAGGAGATCCCTGCAAGGGGTTTAAAGATGACCTGAATGCCAAAGTAAAGGGGATGGCCAATTGAACTAGAGTGCAAATACTGCTCTAAACAATC